AAAGGTTTTCTTAAATTTTCCACATTAAGCAGTCATAATGCTTATAATCAGATTTTAAAGAAATAATAACAATGCATGTTTTTTTGAGAAAACAAGAGGAGGAAAACCCTTCCTTCCTGACCCCTGCTTCCTCTTAAGCATCTGAACTGCCTGTTTTTCTTAACCTTGTCAGCTGGCAAGTGTCAGAGATATACGTTTAAGTTTCCAGGTGGTCAAACACAACCTCTTAGCAGCATTCAAATGAGGCAGCTTTTTCTCAGTGTGTTCTAGACCCAGGGAACACCAGTCCCTTGAGATGTGCCTCCAGGGAAGGATATTTTGGTCAAATGTTTGAGAAATGTTGAATCCTTCATTTCCCTTGGATTTTACAGTGTCCACTAGGGTGTCAAATGTACTAAGAAATCCTGCAAGAAAGACACGTTTCATTTTCTTTAATCCGGCATTTCCCAAAATCTTTTCAGTATCCATCCCCCACCCTGTAAAAAAATAGCCCTGCCTTCCTTTTTTTTTTTTTTGGTTGTGAACCCGTTAACATCAATGGGGCAGTGGTTTCTAGAACCCACTTTGTAAAGCACGGTGCTGGGCCCATTGTCTTCAGGAGCACAGATGTGTTTTCAAGGCTGGTGTTCTGCTCTTTCACCTGTGCCACCTGCCGGCCTGCCCACCCACCTGCTACTACCAACGCTCTCAGTAGCATGAAAGGTGTAGTCTGCAGCCCAGCCTGGATCCAGTACGTCCCTCGTAAGCCACTGTGAGTGGCTCTTTCTGGCTGTCCACAGCCTTTAACTCCCTGACTCTGACTTCCCTGCATTTACTTCTTGCTGCTCCTGTCACACGCCATATGTTCAGTTCTCAGGGAATTGCATAATTGCTGCCCGTGATGTCTTCCCACTGCTCCCTCGCCCATGCCCGTCTGCCTGGAATTCCTTCGCCTTCTATCTGTACATTAAAATATCTTTTAAAACCAACTCAGGAGCCACCTCCTCCACAGTGCCTTCTCCGATCTTCTCCATTGGAAGCCACCAGCACCAGTGGTTCTCAACCCCACTGTGCATTAAAACAATTGCCCACCTTTGAAAAAATAACCAATGCTTGGGCCTCATCCCCGAAAGATTGAATCAAACTCCAGGGGTAGGTTCTGGGCATCAGTAATCTTTAGAGCTCCCAGGGTGGTTCTAATGAGCCGCCAGGCGGGGAACCCTGGACTGATGTGTGCCTCCTTTGAAAAAATAACCAATGCTTGGGCCTCATCCCCGAAAGATTGAATCAAACTCCAGGGGGTAGGTTCTGGGCATCAGTAATCTTTAGAGCTCCCAGGGTGGTTCTAATGAGCCGCCAGGCGGGGAACCCTGGACTGATGTGTGCCTTACTTCCTAGGTGGCCTTTTGTTTGTGCTTAGAAGCAGCATCCTGAGTGTCTGAGAACTTCTAACTTGGAGCCTACTCTCTTGTCCTGGGTGGGTGTGAATGTCCAAGGGACACTGATTTCCTGGCTTTCTGTGCCCTAGTAATGAAGCTATTCCATAAACAGTTTTGCCTTGGAAGCTTATTCTAATTATCCCCTTTCTTGATCTTTCATTACTGTAGACATTAATTCCTTAGGTGGCGGTGAGATCTCAATGTATATCTCTATGAATTTTCCAAATTGTGTTTCAGAAGAATTTTGTGATAATTGACTTCCATACATGAAATCATATTCCCAGTGTGCAGAACCTGAAAATGACTTCCAGGTTTTAGGGAATAATAACAAGTAAAAAGTGCTCGAGCTTGGTTGGGGGAAGTCCGATTTCCCACTCTCCTTGCCTTCCTTGGGTTCTTGAATCTTCTTTTTCAGTGTGTTTTTTGTCGGGGTATTTTTGAAAAGGGAGGAAAGGGGAGAGGTAGGAAAAGGGAGAGGTTGTTGATGGGTGATCAGTGCTTGAAGGAGAAAAGATTAGAATAAAGCAGCCTCAGCTCAGCGCTGCCAGCCCTCTCCCCTCCACCGTGCAGGTGTGTTCTCACCGTGCCTTCTCTGCTTAGAGTGAGTGTCCAGGCGATGGCTGAAATCAGACCTACAGCAGCTGTTATCTAGACCTTGTGCTCTCAACATCTTTGGCAACAACCGGTCCTTTGCACCTTGCCAATCTTAGAGGTCCCGTGTTGCTCTATCAAGATTTGGGAGTAAGTTGACCGGGAAGAGAGTGTCCTGAGAAGTGGTGTGATCTGCGCCTGAATGATGGGGAGGGTTTTGGGGAGGATGGTGTTGCGGAATTTGTCTCACTCACAGCACAGAAAGGTCAGCCAACTGCAAAGGATGGATTGCTGTGTTCTTGATGACGATGCTACTGGCGTTTGAGAAGGGACCATTCCTCATTGTTTGGGACTGTCCCTGGAATTGCAGGATGCTTAGCTTCCCTTTTCTGTATTATTGTGACAAGCAAAAATGCACACATACATTTCCAGTTGTCCCCAGGGGAATATAACTGCTTCTTTAACATCACAATACTCCCTGACAGTTAAGAATGTGAATAAATTACCAGAGGAGACTAAGGAAGTTTCTGGAATCTTTTTCTAGGTCTGTGGATAAGTTTTCCCACCTCCCTCTGATGAATCTGATTTGGTTGTGTTTGAAAACAGAGAAAAGAATAGAGGGTCCAGTTCTAGGCTAGTCATTCTCTTTGGTTGAAGATCTGGTGAGTGTACCTCATTTTGGGCCTGGGTGTGTAACCAAAACACCTGGAACAGTTTGGCTTTGGCCAGGTCATCCAAACTTCGTGGGTTTCTGTATCTTCCTAAAAGAGAGAAATATGAAGAGATTGCATCAGGGAGATATAAAAAACTTTGGTCAGTTCTCAGATTCTGCCACTGAAATATCTTCTGCAGATTCCTTTTTCCTGCAGCATGTCCTTTTGGGGGCTGCAGACCCAGCTTGCTGACAGGCGTCTTTGAAGGAGAAAAGGAAGGCCACTGGAATACAGAACAGGCAGGGAGGGCGTCTCAGGTCCATGAAAATGGGATGAACAGAATTGTTGAGAATGTTCTATAACAGAGAGCAGGCTACTGCTTATTAACCATAGCAGCAGGAGAAGGAGGGGAAGAAATAGTTAAGAGAGTGATGGTGGCAAGACTGTAGTGACTTCAATGTCAGGAGGGCCTAATTTGCCCCATAGAAAGTTTAGCCGGGAGAAGCCCCGTGGCTTCTGGCCATGTCTAGGACCACTGCCCTCTGCAGGCCAGAAGTGGAAAGGCAGCTGCTACCCAGCCCGCCTGGCCTGTCTTCACCCTGGTTCTTCCGGGAGTCTCTGGTCTGGACCTGTTTTCTCATCTTAAAGTGGACAGCTTCCTTCCTTTCTTGCTCCCTCCCTCGCTCCCTCCTGTTTTATCGGAGTAATAAGTACTCTGGGTGGTTTTTTGTTTGGGTATTCTATTTTGGATTGCCTTTTAGAACATTATTTTTCTTGTTTAAACCAGGGGAAAAGAAGAAAAATTCACGCATGCCCTGCTGCCTTACTTACTGTCCCCATCTAGTCTTTGTGTTCGGATCTAACTGTTACACACAGTTGTCATTTTCAGCAGTGACAAAAATTGTTTCTGGAGAGGAAAATCGCCTCCCACTCTCCCTGTCTTTCTGGCACTTTCCGCCTGTTGCCTTGGGAGACACAAATATTGCTTGTCTTGGGTACTCTGGGTGACCCTTTTCAAGGCAGATGCTGTCACCTTTCTTCCCAGCCCCTTCACAGGGGGGCCGCCCCTAGAGATGGTGCTTTGTGAACCAGGCACTGAGTTCCAGCCCCCCAGCCTTTGGCAGTGGGGGAAACATCCACCCCCCAGCCAGGGCTTAGGATGGTGCTTTGTGAACCAGGCACTGAGTTCCAGCCCCCCAGCCTTTGGCAGTGGGGGAAACACGATCGTCCTGGGAAACATCCACCCCCCAGCCAGGGCTTAGGTACAGCCTTTCTGTTCACAGTCCCCTCAGCCCTTCAGGTGGATGCCAGTAAAAGAGAAAGTGAATGAAGACCATTGAAATGCAAAGGTCGTCAAATAATCAGCATGGTGTTTTCTTCCCAGCCTCAATATCATCCAAACATCCACCCCAGCCAGCCCCGGTGGTGTCCTCACTCTCCAAACGTCAGGTAAGTGCCTGGGCTCACAGAGCTGCACCTGTCCTTGAAAGCTCTCCCTTCTCCAGAAAAGTTCAAATTCTGTTTAGTTAGGAATTGAAAGTCTGCATCAGAAGCAACTCTTAAGGGCTGTGTTGTTGTGGCAGAGATAAATAGTTTGCAAAGCAAAGGAAGCCAGCCATGGGTCTGGACTTACTAAAGGTATGCTCATGAAATAAAAATGAACTGTTTTTTTTTTTTTTTTTTAATCATTCTAACCTCATATATTTTTAGTTTGGTTTTGTATGCGAGATGTTAACTTAAAATTTCTAAGTAACATTTTCCTATCTTGGGAATTTGTTTACTTAAAATGTGACTAAAGCTTGGGGATTTTTGTTATTGTGGGTCTTTTTAATGGATTGTTTTTTTCAGGGGTGGGTTTGCTTTTTACGGCAATGGAATTTTTTTCCCCTAAACCCAGGGATCAGTAAACTTTTTCTGTAAAGGACCAGATAGTCAATATTTTTGCTTTTGTGGTTGATGTCACCACTACTCAGGGGTGGGTTTGCTTTTTACGGCAATGGAATTTTTTTCCCCTAAACCCAGGGATCAGTAAATTTTTTCTGTAAAGGACCAGATAGTCAATATTTTTGCTTTTGTGGTTGATGTTACCACTACTATAAAGGACCAGATAGTCAATATTTTTGCTTTTGTGGTTGATGTCACCACTACTCAACTCTACCATTGTAGCTTAAAAACAGCCATCATAGACTACATAAATGAGAGGGCATGGCCGTGTTCCAATAAAACGTATTTACCAAAACAGTGGGATTTGGCTTAAGAGCTATTGTTTACAGCACCCTGCCCCAACCTACTGCAGTCCTCCTAAGTAAACTGGCATCTGCTATACAGTGTTTATAGCTGGGATTGAAAGTTTTTTTAATGCTAGCTTTGTGAAAGCAAACGTCCCTTTCACATTTGAATTTTAGATCAGTCTTAATTGGTGTTTATGCATGAAGCTATTTCAGAAACATAGTTGGTGAATTCAATTGCATAAAGGTGAGGTTGCTAGCCTTTATCTGTGAGAAAGTATGAAGAATGGAGTGATGGAAATAAATCTGTTTAGAGCAAGCCACATACACGTTTGTAGGGGATCCTGTATATAATAAGTGATTTTATTTTAAACACTCGATATTCATGTTACTTTTTAAAGCAAGTTAGATTAGTGGAGTCAGAATTCTAAAACTTTCAGTATTTCAGAGGTACTTTATTTTCCAGACATGAGAAACAGGAGAGATTTATAGAAATGCTATTTTCATTGACATTGCTTTCATAAAATGTTATTCTTATTGCCTATTTTATCATATTAGTTTCCTCCCAAGGCATGACCTAGCCCCACTTTTCACCACAGGGATTCTAAGGAAAGCTGCAAGCAGTGCTGCTCTTAGGTGGCCCTGCTGACTGGCAGCCTAGCATCACCTGAGAGCTTGTTAATGCAAATCTCAGCAACTTCCCAGACCTAGTGGGTCACAATCTCTGGGGTGGGGCCCAGCATTTTGTGTATTACCAAGCCCATCAGAGATACTCCATAAAAGGAGAGTTCGTTGGTCCAACCTTTTTGACACATGCTGCCTAAGACATTCACAGTGACATTAGCATGATAAAATCTCTGATAAGTCCCTTAGCAAAAGGACCTTTTTCACTTTCACCTAGCTTTCCCCAGACTGACTTGACCATCAGACACACCCCTTTGAGAAATGATGGCTTGCTTGTAGCCAGAGCTTTTCTGTACTTGGAAGTTGACACATGATCTGCATCTGAATTTTTTAAATATCGAAGTAGAAAATCCATTCATTTCCTTTTGTAAGCCATCCCCATGCATGTGGTTCATGGTTTCCCCTGCCCATTTCTTTTGTGCTATGTTTCACTCACATTTCTGAATTGTCTTCCATCTTCCCACTAACCATTCACTCTGCAAACAAAACAGGCCATCCTTTCAGGATGACAGGTCGCATTGGAAAGCATCGGCCAGTGGAGATGACAGCCGTTTTGATTATGTCCACGACCAGAACCAGAAGAACTTAGGAGGGATGCACAGTGTGATGTATCGAGATAAACTCATGACTGCACTTTGAGAGACTGAAGCATCTTACTTCCATTCACCATCATGGTTTCATTGCATTCCATGAAAAGTGCCTTGGCCTCACATGGATGTGTTTGTACAAGTGTCTTTAAGGAATAGGTGTTTTCAGTGTCTGTGTAAATATTTGAAGATAACCACGAGAGCTAGTCATAATTTACTGCTGACTGCATTCTCAATAAAATGAAGGTAGTTAAAGGCTCAGGAATCATTTTGATATTCTGATTTTAACGTTGGAGTAAAAATCTATGTTTATCATATTGCTGTGTACCTGATATTCTTTGTTATTTAATAATGGGACCAAGTAAAACCAGAAAAGTTTGGGAAGATAGCTCAGCTTGTAGTACCCTTGTAGGGATTGAGATTGCTAGGGTCCAGCCTCTGCCATTGTGTGACCTTGGACGAGTCATTTCCCCTTTCTTGGTCCCATTTTTTCCCGTCTGAAAAGAGCAGGTTGTATTAAGTGATCTCTAAGATCCTTTCCAACTCTAAAATTTTGCAACATATTAAAATTTACTTTTTTTAGCCCAAGGATACACATGCAAGCTAAGTCTCATAAGCAAACTGCAATATCCCCTTCTGTGACAGAGGGTTACCCTTTTCAGAAGCTAAAGTATATAACTTATTAGATGGTGTATAAATACAGGGAGACTTTTAATTTCATCTCTTAAAGCAGTTTAGTCACTTTGAATTTTAGTGATTGTACTAATCATAAATTGAGTAGCATCTGTTTTGATAGAATTTGCTGCTCAAATATAAGAATAATTTTTAATGTTTTAATGATTGGTGCTGCTAATTTGCTTGATTTCAGAAGGCATCATTGTGAATACACACTGTCAGAATTAGGGGGTTGATTTTAGACTTCACTCTTTCAAAAAGCAACATGCAATCGAGATGCATTAATGGCTCAAATTAAAGCATGTAAGGGTTTGTTGAAGTTGTGCCAAAGCATTCCATAATGTAGGCTAGGATGGGCGTTGCCCCATTGGTGTTTTTTTTTTTT